AGGTGTGTTTAGGCTTGATGAGGCAGCTCGGAAAACGAGCTGCAGCCTGCAGGGCGGCTACTAAGGCGTGAAATTGCAAAGGGGTTCGTAAACGGTAAAAAGAGGGAACCTTGGATCTGCTGCAGCCGCATGGTGGCCTTTGTGAGATTTCCCTTGCTCCAGAATTTGGAGCCGAACAAAGTTGGTTGCGTGTTTCCGGGGCACTACGGTCACAACTGGGATTAGATGAACCCGGTTAGAGTGGGATGAAGACCCTGAAGCTTCTAGGCATTGTTGCTGGAGACTCTGTGCACCTTATCTTCGAAAGATATAATAAAACAACATGATTCTTGGTTAATCTAGGTCGGCGCAACAGAGTCCACGCTTCGTTTCGACGCCGGCTTGAGAGGAGTTGTCGCGTACTACGATTGTGTCTCGAGTCAAGGTTCACAATGTTGACAAAATCAAAGTTCGAACTGTCAAATTGCTTTGACTCGACCTACCTTGGCGTAGAGCACTGACACTACCCGATTTTGTCGCTTTCAGTAATCGATTCCGAAGCAGGTCTTGCCGACCTCGGTTTCCTTTGCACCAGCCTCTCAATTATGCTTTTCATCTAAGATGGCCATTATATTGACCTGCTGAAATCTTTCAGAGTCTCATAGGTACTCAAGCACTGGTGTAGAGCGGCGTTGTGCTTTTGTGCTGTCTTCTGATTCGTCGAATTAGACAGAGTGCACCTGACTGTGCCAAAAACATTATCAATTGATCAGAGACACAAGTCGTCATGCAATGCTAGCTCACTTATCAGACTCATTAACAAAGTGTGATTCTGAAAACTTGACGTAAGTCAACGCATGGAGTTGCAATGAGATGGAACCTACGTGATTGGGTTGAGAGTGAACCTCAAAGAGTGGCGAACAGCATCGTTGCCCGCTTGCGTCCAGGTCACAGGGAGCCTAGAACCTAAATTCCACATCACGGTACGGATACAAATATTTGTACATGGACGTAGGAAGAGTATGACTCGATAACATTAATTGTATCGGACCATACCGATTAGACCTTGTCTCCTTATTGACAGTGACGTAGACCGCTTCGCGTAAAAATCCAACCTTTCTCGGCCAATGAGGCCGAACGTGCAACCGCCATATCCCTTACTATTTCGGTCCATTGGGCATTGTTTGAATTCTATCTTCTTCTACTTATATTCCTGCCAAGACTTAAAGCCATAAATCAACAAAGAATGAGGGTTCAGACTTATGCTCTACATCATTTGGGCCAAACTTAGAATCTTTATTACTTTGACTATGCGTTCTATTTTATTCTTCATGTCAGCTCTTGGGGTGAAATCAATCAGTTTCTCGACTTCATCACCCTAGAAAACAATGAGAACTTTGATTATTGACCTATTGATACTCCTCATGCTTTCTTTCGGTATTCGATGGCAGTTCCCCTTCACGTTTCGAACCTGCCTTACCTTACCATACCTACGCTGTAAGTCTACATGTGAAGAAAATCCTGGTATGGAGATAGCCTCCACAACTTCGGCCTCTATCAGTACAACTTAAGAAACGCAATCAGTTGAGTCAAAGAGTGCCGAACGTAGATCTCTCCTTCGACACTCATCGCACGCCGGTCCATGGCCCTGGTCGGAGGAACTGTTCAAGTAGCGTACGGTCTAGGCCCACGTTGTGTTGACATACGATCGATGACGCGCGAGACTCCGGTTAGCCCGGAGCATGATCAGTCACAAAGTGCAAAGAGCAACAAGAAAACTCTGAAACAGCAGAGCAACACATCAAGCTGGGTTCAATACGTGGCAGAGAGGGATCGATCACGCGACGGCGATCCCGTCGTCGTAGAAAAGCACGCTGTATTAATGACTCGGATCGCGATCTCAGGATATGAACGGCCGGTGGGATACTAATCGGTGACTTTGTGGGATGCCGTCTACCATCGCCATTCAGTCAATGCGTGGAGGCCTAGCAATCTTAGAACGGATTAGCAGCAGGGCGACTAGAGATATGAGAAACCTAATCGTAGTCCCTGCGGCGAATAAATTCAGAGCAAATCTGAAGGAAACATGGCAGGCACTTATGACCAGCATAACCTCTGGGAGCTCAGGTATGGCGGCATGTTGACTTCGGCGCCGACGCCGGCGTGCAGGACCATCGCGGCCAGGCCCCGTATCATCCGGTCGCCGAGTCATCCATATGCAAGCGGGACGCGGGTAAGGTGAGTTATAAATCACCGAGTCCACGAACCCGGCTCAATGGTTGTGATGTACGGAAGCGGGGAGGAGGGGTTCGCGCAGCTGTATGCGCCTGGGTTCCACTGAATCACATCAGACTACCTATTTGAGTCAACTGCTCCCCGCCGTTCGTTCGCATATGCCGGCATTTGTTGCTGTGCCACCACCGCGCATAGATTCTTCAGAAGAACAATCCGCAGCTCATGGCTGTCATAGTCTCCGGAGTAGCAAGCCGATTCCGGCATTATTTTCATCTCTACGGATGCAACAAAGGGGCACTTTGTACGGCCGAAGCTTCAGACCAAGGAATACTTCCAGCAACGGCCGGTAGATGGCCTCTAGCGAAGAAAGAAGCCGAACCTAGTGCCGGTAAGGGCAAGGTGAGCATGACTCGCGTGCGCTAAAGATATTACAACACCATGTTCTTGGGTTGCTAGATTGCAAAAACCTCCCTCCCATTGGCATACCGTGGAAACGAGTGGGGGGTTGACCGATATGAAGGCTGCTATCACTGCGGGGTTTTTTCACGAGACAAAGAAACGCGAAAGCTTGAAGAAGTTCTCGGAGCCTGGCAAACCATGATCATCGTCGTCTCCTCGCCCAGGAAGTCTTCGGACCACCGAGCCATGCACAACCTGACGACTGCTGCATCATCGTGGATATCCAGCATAGGGTAGTTTGGTGATCATGTTCCTGCTCCAAGATTTCGTCGACCCTTACTTGACAGCTGGGGCCGCGATTCTCTTCGCGATCCTCTTCGCCGTCCTCCGCCCGAAGAAGCCGACCCTTCCGCCGGGGACAACCCTCCCGCCAGGTCCCAAACCCAAACCCCTCATCGGCAACCTCCTCTCGATCCCGCCGGTGCACTCCTGGCTGGCCTTCCACGAGCTCATCAAGGAGCACGGCCCCGTCGTCCGTCTTGCCCTCCCGGGCGGCCAGGAGCACGTCCTCCTCGGCACCGAAGCCGCCGCCAACGAGCTCCTCCGCCAGCGGGGCAACATCTACAGCGATCGGCACTACGCGCCGGCGTCATCGCACTTCTTGACGGATGACCACATGCTCCTACTGCTTCCCTATGATGACAAATGGAGAAACTACCGGAGATTCCTGCACCAGGTCACCATGTCGCCCGTCGCGCCGCAGTACGAGACGGAGCAGCGCATCGAGGCGGCCAGATTACTCCGCGACCTGATCCGCAAGCCGCGCGACTACGAGGCCCTCTTTGAGCGGTTCAGCGTCGGGCTGGGCATGCGCATCATCTACGGCCTGCGCGCGGAGACGGGCCACGACCGCGAGGTACGGATGCTGCTCGACATCGTCCACGAGCTGGAGCGCGTGGGCTCGCCCGGGGCGTACCTGGTCGACATCTTCCCGTCGCTGAAATATCTACCAGAGTGGATGGCGCCCTGGAAGAAGTACCTGCGAGCACGAAGGCGCCGCGACGAGGACTTTTTCCAGGAACTGATTGACCGGAGCAAGTCGCCTTCTTGGGCGCGAACGTGGCTCGAAACGCAAGACCAGTGGGGGCTCACACGGCGGGAGGCGAACTGGATGCTGGGATCTGTTTTCCAGGCTGCGGGAACGACGTCTGGATCGGCTCTTGCATCATTCATTCTCTGCGTTGTGCGGAATCCCGGGTGGTTTGAGAGACTTCAGGCCGAGGTCGACTCTGTTGTTGGACCGAATAGATTGCCCACTTTCGAGGACATGCCACGGCTTCCGCTTGTTAGGGCGTGTGTGAAAGAAACGCTGCGCTACTACCCGATCACGGCGGGCGGTTTCCCTCACCGTCTCACGGAAGACGACACGTACAACGGGTATTACTTGAAGAAGGGTACTGTGGTTCATGCAGTGCAGTGGGCCATCCAACGCGACCCGGAGACCTATCCAGAGCCCGAGGTCTTCAACCCGGACCGCTGGTTGGATCCCAAGTATCCGACGTACAAGGAACCTCTCACAGTCTTTCCAAACTTGCAGCAGTTCACAGCTTTCGGCCACGGCCGCCGGATTTGCCAAGGCATCAATATTGCTGAACGGAGTCTCAACCTCAAGATCGCACTGCTTGCTTGGGCTTGTAACATTTCCCGGGCTACGGATGGTAACGGCAAAGAGATTATACCACCAATCTATGACTTTGCCGCAGGTTTCAATGTGCAGCCAAAGGAATTTGAATTCGACCTCAAGCCAAGAAATCAAGAGCGGGTAGACTTGCTGGAGAGCGTTTTCAAGGACACACTGAAAGAAGATCCGCTGTCGTCATAGATTCTAGAGGAAGACTAATGGGATATGTCATGCTAAGCACGATTGAGTGCGTCAGTACCTAATTCGTTACCGAGGCGATATGGCCTCGTCCGTTGAATTGTGAGAAAACTTTGCCATGGGCACTCATCATTTATAATCAGAACACTGCGCCATTCAGGAATGGGGCCACGAGACAGGACCAGAAGCACTTTTAGCCACATCCCACAAGTTCCAGTCTATCAATTGGGGTCTCTACAGTCCTCGATTTTGCTATGGTTCATCGTCGCTGCCAGCCAGGGCAGAACGCAACTCACAAGCGATCGGAACGTAATGAATCTTTCAACGTTCATAATCTCATAAATACAATCTCTCGCAAAGTATTACGTACTTTTATAATACAATCATTCATCTAAACGCAAACTGCCCAATCCATCCAAAGGCAAAAGCATTTCGGCAAGGTATTCGGTCCAGTCACTCCGTTTTTATCACCCATCATTCAGATACCGATATGTGTCAGTCACACAAGTCAATAACCAGCCCCAACACCTATGCTCGTCACCGGAGTCAAAGCATTCAAGACAGAGCCCGTAGCCGCAACGTCATTCAGCCTCCTCTTCACTTCCATGCCGAGACTCTGTATAGCCCTCAATAACGGCATAAAGTCCCGATCGTCCCTGGACCCCTTGAGCATCACTTCTCCAACCTCCTCCAGTAGCTCAATATCGTCGTGATGGCTTCTCACATCAACGGCCCGAAGGATATGGTTCAAGAGGCAAGCGTAAGAGACGTAGGCGCGGTAGATGCCCAGTAATACACACATAGTTTCAGGATACGGATTGTGCACCAGGATAGCCCGCACAATTCTCAGCATGCCCCTCGATGCCTCGACGGCCAGCGGGGAGTCGGGAATGTCCGCGTCGCAGGATACGGGGCGCGGTGAGTTGGAGCTGAGGACGGCGAGTTTGCGCAGGATGAAGATGATGTAGGTGTACCCGGTCATGGCTACATCGCCTAGTAACCAGCAGTCGGCTTTTGCGGCTGTTGCTACGCTTCGTTGAATCCAATCTTCCTGTTTCAGGCATCAGCAAGTCCTCAACAGAACCAAAGTGAGAAGATCGCGCTTACAATTTGATACTCATCAAAGAGCTCGCCAATCTCTCGACAGTACTCTTCAGCTTTCGGTCGAATGGTGGCTTCATCGCAATCCGGCGACTCCAGGTCCTGGAAAAAGTGCGACAGAATGAATGTAAGCCTTGACCCCATGAGGAACGTCACCGTCGGGACAGCATTGAGGTCCGGCGGCGCGCTGCCAGATGATAGCCACGGCAAGTTGACCTTCCACGTATTCATGCTATCCGTGATGGCCGGCGGGCGATTGAACAGTAACCTGAAGAAGAAGTCAATCTGGATCAATTCCCAGAAACCCTTGCGATCGGAATCCAGTTGACCTTCGTCCTGGCCGATCGCAGTGGTGTAGGCGTCGAGGTTGTGCAGGTTGAGTGCTTGGGCGTACTCGCAGGCGTAGGTGTACATTTTCCAAGCCAGTTCTTCATCAAAACACTCGGCTGCCGTACGGCACTGTCGTCCAGGGGCGGTGGTTAGTCGTAGGACGGGCTTGCTAGATAGGGGCGAAGGAGCGCTACTGACCATGGTGAGAGCGGCGATGAGGTCGGTCGTGGACCCTGTTGCTTCGCGCTGCCAAAGTGGTAGAGTTCGAAGACAGCACACGTAGAGCATCCGGATGTACTTGTGTCCTTCTTCATTTGCCTGTACGGTCGAGCCTAGAGCACAGCCGTGGTACAGAACACCGTAGTACACGACCAAAATGGCCGGATCGAGGTGGACATGCGGCAATCCAAGGAGATCCGGGATCATCTCTATGAGTTTCGGGTTCACGAGACTGAGGAACATGTCTGTATGCATGTGCGTGAAATAATCTAGCATAGACGTTAGGCGAAACGCGATAGAATGTCTCGAAGAGCCCTCATTTCTTGCGGCGTTTGAAGATAAATCCTGACTTACTCTTGATCCATTGCTTTGCCAACTCAGGAGGGACCCTGACGTCCTGAGTGACGACGGCAGCAGACACGGTCTGCAATCTCAATCGCTGCACTTGATCAACAGCATCTTTGAGGATAGCCGCAATATCGAGTTCAGGAATTGCACTCGGTGTGGCAAATGACGTCCACGGTGAAGTCGCCTGCCCACCCGCAACACTCGATGGAGCGGGGGACGACAGGTTGGATGGGGCGCTGTTGGAGCTTGATGTACGTTGTCGAGACGGCGGGGCGGCGGCGGGCGGATCAGTAGCCACGTAGACAGGGGGCCCGTCTCGGGATTCCGGATCTTGGTTTCCATTCGGGAGGGTGGTGCAGTGCTTCTCGACGCGCTGTAACCTTTCGAGTATGGTCGACAGGGCGTCATCCGTCGTGCTGGAATCGCCAAGGCTATGTCTTGAGCCAACGATTCTTTTACGAGAATCTCGTGGAGATTCATTGGTGGAGGGGGGAAAAAGAAGGCTCGGGAAAGGAGGATGGGCGGAACTTACGATAGACGGTCCGTCAAGGTCCGAGTGACCTTTCTCTTGACTCTTTGAGGATAGACGCACTCTGTCTCATGGGTTTTGCATCTTTCGCATGTTGGCATTCCGCGACTACACCGGACCTGATGTTATGAACAGAAACGTCAGTCAACCACATCCAATATGGTCCAAGGGATCACGGCGACGACTGACCTTTCTGTGTTTGCATCGTTTGCACTACCCAAGCGAAATTTGGCAACCAAGTCAGCCATAGACCACGATAGGAGAGAGAGACCCGTTGCCTGGAAGCCAAGTCTAGAGGATCGGGACCCAGGGAGCGGACTATGGAGCTACAGCAACCTCCGCTGTACTCACCGAAAGCGGGTTCAACTGGGCGGACTGGTCAGGCATGATTACCTAAGTGGTCGAAGGGATCTCGGAGAGCGGAGAATTCGATTTGTTTTGTGGTGCAGCGAGATGTGCTACAGTGAGAGAGGGGGGGACTTTGAAGGACAAATACACCATGCCAGGCCCGCGACGATCCCACCCGAGCCGTTATGATGCATCATGATCTCGATTCTTCGGGGGTCGAAGATTGGTTTTAGCTCGCAAAGTCTAATTAGGTGCCGTCTGGTTTGCTTGGCAAGGGGGTTGCTTGGTGTCCGGTGTGACGCAGCGCAGGACGAATCTCACAAAGCTACGTTGCGGAGGCCGCGGGCCACGCTCTGAGGGGCCCCGAGGTCGCCGGACGCTCAGGCTAGAGCAGCAACAACAGTTCTTCCGGCATTCTTTTGTTCGTAATTACTTTAATCTAGGGTTCTTCCCAGCTGGTTCCAGCTGGGCACGGTTTATGCGCCTTAGTGCGCGGCAAGTTCCTTTGTTTTAAGCTTCTTCAGCTCGGGGAGGACGTGGCTAGTAGATCAGATTATAAAGACGATCGAAGGCTTGACAACCCCAATTTAAGTCTTGGCAAAGTCCGGAACAACGTCCTAGACTCCTAATCGAGCGCCATAGGGCTGAAGAAAACCCCTAATTGCGGACATTCGGACTCTCGTCCAACGAATATCCGCCAGTCCGGTACCACCAACCAACAGCGAACGTCAGCAACTAACGCAAGTATGAGTGATGATGAGATTTTTGCAACTTGGCAATATGGGGCTTTCAGATGTTTTGACGCTCGGGGATGGATACATATAATTGGTGCCTCGAAGTTGAGATGGCATGATATTTTCCAACTTCAGTTTCAGTCAACTCATCCCATTTCTAAGATTCCATCTTCCTCATATCTTTCATTTACACCAACTATCACTGCCTCAAACTTGACTACTTTTGGGTTATCTTTGTCGTCTGGTCTTAGTGACCGTCAAAGCGACAATGCGGTCTGATAGCGACACGGATAGTGGCACTCTGCCACCACCATCGACCAACGAGAAGAAGGTTCTTCCACCGAGCTCTGGGTCTTATTCAGCTGGCACGACCACCGAGAAAGAATGGACGAAGCATGAAGATGCCGCTGATCAGGAAACGCGAATGAACGATGAGGTTCTGCAACTTGCCCGCAGATACACCACGCAATCGAACGCCGCCCCCGGTTCTCTCTTCCCAGTTCCCGCCGAAGGCCCGTTGAACCCAAGCAGTCCAGACTTCAATGCAAGAAAGTGGGCAAAAGCATTCTACAACATCCGCACCGACACCTCGGAGGGAAACCCACCAAAGACAACGGGCATCGCCTTCAAGAACCTAAACGTTTTTGGCTATGGCACTTCCACGGACTACCAGAAGAGTGTCGGCAACGTCTTCCTTGAGGCGGCGAGCTTGGTGAAGAAGCTCACGGGTGCAAAGGAGCAACGCATCGATATCCTCCACGACCTCGAGGGCGTCGTCCACAGCGGCGAGATGCTTGCCGTCCTCGGACCTCCTGGTTCCGGTTGCTCAACCCTACTGAAGACGATCGCCGGTGACACGCATGGATTCTACATTAGTGACGACGCGACCATCAATTACCAGGGGATCCAGCCCAAGGACATGCGCACCGCCTTCAGGGGCGAAGCTATCTACACCGCCGAGGTTGACGAGCATTTCGCCCACTTGACGGTCGGAGACACCTTGTACTTTGCAGCTCGTGCTAGATGCCCCAAGAACATCCCGGATGGCATCACCAGACGCGAGTACGCCGAGCATCTTCGTGATGTGACGATGGCCATGTTTGGTATTTCGCATACGAAGAACACCCGTGTTGGCGATGACTTCGTTCGTGGAGTCTCTGGAGGAGAACGCAAGCGAGTCACCATCGCCGAGGCGGCTTTGAGTTACTCGCCGCTGCAGTGCTGGGACAACAGTACGAGAGGTCTCGACAGTGCCAACGCCCTCGAGTTCTGCAGAACTTTGAGAACCCAAGCTGATACTATGGGCTGCACATCTTGCGTTGCCATCTACCAGGCTTCCCAGGATGCCTACGATGTAAGTCATGGAGCCTGATCCTGCTCTACTAAGCTGCCCGACTAACAAATAAAAAGGTTTTTGACAAGGTCGTCGTTCTGTTTGAAGGCCGTCAAATCTACTTTGGCAAAACCACCGAAGCCCAAGCCTACTTCGAGGGCCTAGGTTTCATCTGCCCAGAGCAACAGACGACAGCCGACTTCCTCACCTCCATGACCAGCCACCAGGAGCGCGTCATCCGCCCCGGCTGGGAGGGCAAGACGCCGCGCACCCCCGACGACTTTGCCCGTGCCTGGAAGGCCAGCCAGCAGCGCGCCCGCCTCCTCGAGGACGTCGAAGACTACCTCCAGCGCCATCCCTTTGGCGGCGAGCACTACCAAAAGTTCCTCGCGTCCCGCCGCATCGACCAGTCCAAGTCCCAGCGCCAGAACTCGCCGTTTACGCTCTCGTACATGGAGCAGATGCGTCTCACGCTCTGGCGTAGCTGGGTGATGCTCAAGGGCGATCCCAGCATCACGCTGACGATGCTCATCACCAACATCTTTGAGGCCTTGATCATTAGCAGTCTGTTCTACAATCTGCCTTCCAACACGTCTAGCTTTTTCCGCCGCGGTATCCTTCTCTTCTTCACGGTCATCATCAACGCCTTTGGCAGCATCCTCGAAATCATGACGTTGTACGCCAAGCGCAAGATTGTCGAGAAACACGCCCGGTATGCCTTATACCACCCCAGCGCGGAAGCTCTCTCGGCCATGGTTGTCGACTTGCCCTACAAGATTGTTAATGCCGTCCTGATGAATACCATTTTATACTTTATGGGCAACCTTCGTCGCGAACCGGGCGCCTTCTTCTTTTTCCTGCTCGTCTCTTTCTCGATGACGTTGACCATGTCGATGATGTTCCGTCTCATCGGTTCCGTCACAAAGTCAGTAGCTCAGGCACTAGCGCCGGCATCCATCATTCTGCTTCTCATCGCTCTGTACACTGGTTTCGCTATCCCGCCCCAATACATGCAAGATTGGTTGGGCTGGGTCAGGTGGCTGAACCCGGTCTATTATGGTCTCGAGAGCGTCATGCTCAACGAGTTCATCGGCCGCGACTTCCGTTGCTCAACCTTCGTACCCATGGGTCCCGGCTACGACTCCGTCGCTGCCAATGAACGCGTCTGTTCTACGGCGGGATCCGTCCCAGGCCAGGATATGGTCAGCGGTACGGCCTATCTCAGCACTTCGTACGGCTTTGAGAACTCCCACCGGTGGAGAAACTTTGGTGTCATGATTGCCTACATGATCCTCTTCATGGGTCTGCATCTCTTCGCTACCGAATACATCGCTTCCGAGCGCTCCAAGGGCGAGGTCTTGGTCTTCAGCCGTAAGGCCATGAGCAAGCGCCGCAAGCAAGGCGCCGTCGATGTTGAGACAGGTGCCTCTGCCGCCAGTGCGCAGCAGAGAAGCGAGGATGACTCCGAGGGCGTTGCGGGCATGGAGAAGCAGACCTCAGTCTTCCACTGGAAGGACGTTTGCTATGATATCAAGATTAAGGGCGAACCTCGACGGATTCTGGACCACGTTGACGGCTGGGTTAAGCCTGGAACTCTGACTGCACTCATGGTAAGTCCTTTGCAATAGTTTCAACTCCCAACAAGACAGCGGCTAACATCACCAACAGGGCGTTTCTGGAGCCGGCAAGACGACCTTGCTCGACGTTCTCGCCACCCGCGTAACAATGGGCGTCATCTCCGGCGACATGCTCGTCAACGGCCAACCCCGCGACGACTCTTTCCAGCGGAAAACGGGCTACGTGACACAGCAAGATCTCCACCTACACACCTCCACCGTCCGCGAAGCTCTCAACTTCAGCGCCCTCCTTCGCCAGCCAGACAACTACTCCCGCAAGGAAAAGCTCGAGTACGTCGACACTGTCATTAGCCTCCTTGGTATGGAAGAATACTCCGATGCCGTTATTGGTGTGCCCGGCGAAGGCCTCAACGTCGAGCAGAGGAAGCGTCTTACCATTGGCGTTGAGCTCGCCGCCCGCCCGCAGCTCTTGTTGTTCCTCGACGAGCCTACTTCCGGACTCGACAGCCAGACCTCGTGGTCGATTTGCAACCTCATGGAGAAGCTCACCAAGAGCGGCCAGGCTATCTTGTGTACCATCCACCAGCCCTCTGCAATGCTCTTCCAGCGCTTCGACAGACTACTTCTTCTCGCTCGCGGCGGCCGCACGGTTTACTTTGGAGAGATTGGCAAAAATTCGCAGACGTTGGTGGACTACTTTGTCCGAAATGGTGGACCGGAGTGTCCGCCTGGCGCGAATCCCGCAGAGTATATGCTTGAGGTTATCGGTGCTGCGCCTGGCGCTCACACCGACATCGACTGGCCTGCTGTCTGGCGCCAGACACCCGAGTACCAGTCTGTTCAGGCTGAATTGACCCGGTTGTGCTCTGAAGGTTCCTCGCGACCTGCCCTGACCAATAGTCAAGATCAATCCACTTACAAGGAGTTTGCTGCCGGTTTTGGTACGCAGTTCATTGAGGTCACGAAGCGTGTTTTCCAGCAATACTGGAGAAGCCCTGCCTACATCTACTCAAAGGGCGTTTTGTCTTTTGGTGCTGTGAGTAACTCTCTAAGGTCCTTACACTCGACTCTCCGACTGACTCATGTTCTTAGGCTCTGTTCATCGGTCTCTCGTTCCTGAACGCTGAGAATACGCAGCGTGGCTTGCAAAACCAAATGTTTGGCGTCTTCATCTTCCTCACAGTCTTCAGCCAGGTCGTCGAGCAAATCCTGCCCATCTTTGTGTCGCAGCGCACCATGTACGAGGCGCGTGAGAGGCCCTCAAAGGCGTACTCATGGAAGGCCTTCATGTTTGCCAACATCCTGGTGGAAATGGCCTGGAACTCGGTAAGCTCTCCCTTGACCTTAGTTGCAAACCAGCAGTTCACTAAACCTTCTCACAGCTCGCCTCCGTCT